GGAGTTGGGCATTCCGGGCACTAGAACATGAGGTACAAACTTAGAAGGGAAACCACCACTCTGCTAGCTATGCAAATATATACATCATACATATATTTAAAGTGGTGCATTAAATGTATAGCAAACAGAAGTTTTGGCCAGTGAGTTTCAAGGGGGAGGGAAAAGTGGAGTATTTAGTTGCCCTGTAGTTCATCTCAGTCCCTTGCACACTGTTGCCCATGCAATGCTCCCTGTTTGGAGAAGGACACCTTCAGAAGGCAACTCATCCTGCCTTAGAAGTGAACCAGTGCTGGTGGTGATGAAACCTGTTGGTGATATTCTGGGTGCTCAGGTCTCTCAGATATATCATGTCCTTGAAGGTAGAGGCATGAGTCTACAGACAGTGTGAATGTCACCTGGCTTCAAGCCTCTACATTGTGGACCTCATGGTAGTCCTTCAAGGTCCTCCTTCAGCCCATGGAAAGAAAAAGCCACATCTAGGGAGCAATTAGCCTGATGTGCTTTGGAGATCTACAGTAGAATAACATCATGCCCTAGAAGTGCTGATTTCTGCCCTATAGAGGGAACCCAGTCACTGAGCTCAGATGCAGACATCTGGACTGTATAAGCACAGAGCTGGGTGAGATGTGTCCAACCCCTAGCACTTGGCACCAGCAACCTGTGAAAACTTATCCCAGAAAGCCTATCAGTGACTCTCAGGAATGGATTGAAACACGAATCAGGCAAGAGGCCAAAGCAGCTCATCACTAATAGAGTTAAAATGATAAATACTCCAGCACAGTGTGTCCCAGCAGCAAAACAAGCAGGCAGGATGAGGCAGAAAAATGAGAGAGCTTCACATTCTGAGCTTCAGGTAGATGAGGAATGCTCTCAGAGGTGCTGCACTGTGGAGCACCAGCTCTGTTTTCTAATTAGAGGTTCCAAGTGATGCTTTAGAGGCCTTGGGATGTTTCCACTAGGCCCTGCACCACATTTTCTAGTCTTGTGTGGGTGTCTTCCTCATCTCTAAGGGACCTGGAAGCCTACAATAAGGCACCTGCATCTCACCATTACAGACAAGTCAGAAGCAGCAGAAATAACCACCAGCAGGTTTGGATGAGAGCTGAATCCAGACTGAAACTCATCCCCATTGTGAAAAAAGGAGATGTGATACAACGAGATCATGTTATTACAGATGGCCTGAAATGGTCACCATTACAGAAGCAGGTACATAATGCAATAAGAAAGAAATTTGCTTCATGGAAGAAGGAAAAATATCTGCCAGACAGTAATGAGAGGAAGGACCATGGCCCCATTGAGGAAAACTCACTAAGTGGCAGCAATGGCTTTTTCCCTTTGAATGAACTGAGCTCCAGGGAACCCACTAAGAATAAAGATCCAAAAGGCAGAAAGGTGTTTTCTGAACATCTCCCAGGCCTGAACTTCATACCTTTGCTTCTGAGAACCTATAATTGGAAACATCTCCAAGCGTTGGGAGGAAAAATAAAGGGTAATGGAGATGGAAAAGAAAACTCACAGTTACTGGAGTCGCTTGCTGAGACCAAAAAGTGCATCAATAAATCACAGATCAGGAATGTGAGAGGCCTATTAGGTCATCTAGTCCGTGCCCTGACAGCACTGGTTTGCTCAGTCTCTGTCCTGCACTCAGAAGTGTCTTCTCCACCCACTGCTTGTCCAAACCCTCCCCATGGAAAGGCACCAACCCTCCCTGTTCCCCACATTCTGCCACCAACATGGAGGGATGCCCACTGCCTGCAAAGGATATTGTTGGGGAACAAAATCCATTTGTGGGGCAGTGGAAAGGAAATCATCTTCTCCCAGAAGAATCTCGTCCATGGTGGGATTTGGTGGTGGGTCTCTATCCGATCTCCACCCAGTCTTCATTGTGCATCAGCACTGGGAGGGGAGCTGGAGCCAAAGGGGCACAACCAGCCTGAATAAAGCAGCCCTTAAGGGCACAGCTTGCAGAACAGCTTTTAGTCCTCACTATGGTGGGAAAAAACCTGATAAACACCTTTATCTGGACTCACACTTTTACCTTCTGCCACCCTATAAATGCTGTTTTTCACTGATTCCTCTTACTAATGTCATGCTCTCCCCCGCCCCGACTCTCCTGCCCCATCCCTCATTCTCCAGAAAGCTGAGGACAACTGAGGGGTGGTTGGTTTTTTTCATACATACATATTTGACCCATCCCTTTAAACAAACAGGCCCCAAACCAAACATCTCCTGCTTTATATATAGCATAGCAGGGCTTTCAGCTGGAGTTATGGGTACTGACAGAAAACCATAAACATAGTTACAGAGGAAACATGATGCATGGATGGATCATGACTTTCGTTTACTCTTTTAATTATCTCAGGCAGTTAATAAATTCATTCCAAAACATGAATGCTCCGCAGTGTTAGGTCCTTTGAGAGGTATGGGCCCATTCCTGCAGATCTGGGCTCTGTGAGGGGACTATTCATAGCAGCAGCATCTTGGGATAAGTACCTTCAGATCTGAGCAGATATCAGTGAAAGCCATACATTATTTGGCTTACAAGGACAACTGTGAGCAGGACACTGCCAAAGGGAGGAAAAACTCCTTGAATTGAGCAGTGAAGCATTGATGTGCCTTAAAACACCCTTAAAGGGTGGAAGGACCTCCTCTCTTTCTGATGTGGGCTTTCTCTGGAGGGCATCTCACCTTCCTCCCTTGTGTGATGTGACCCAAGAAGGGCTCACAGAGGGATTGTTAGTGAAACCATGAACTTCTGCTCCAAATTGTCCACTTTGTTTTCTGTAAAGGCACTTTCTTTTTTATGCCTATTCTTAAACAGCTTAATCTTGCAGAGCTTTGGGTGGAAAAAGGAAGATTTAAGCAATCTGGGAACAGTGAAGTAAACTTTAATGAAGAGAAGCAGAGACCGGGTTTGTGGTTTCTCTACGTTCAATCTCATTGAGGGGTTCTAATCTGCAGGAGCCTCATTTTCCCAGGTTTTCAACTGGAAAAGCCTTGCAGAACTGTCACAATAACCTTGTCTAAGTTCCTGGTAGGGGCAGCCCATATCCTTTCTACATTGCCCTGCATCGGTCCTGGTCTGGGGACCAACAAGCTGGAAAAGCAGCCACATCCCACTGCTTCTGTAAAGACTTTTTACTCAGAGAAGCAAGATTTATATAGAAAAAAAGAGGAAAAAAAGAAAGAAGAAAGACTGAGAAGAAGAGGAGGAGGAGGGGGGGAACCAACCCTGAAGTAAAAGCTTAAAATAAGAGCTGCTTTCAGACACGGTGCCAAATCCAGCGCTGGCAGCAGCGGGCACAGGGCTGTTGACTTCCACCCAAGCTTGACTGAAGTGGATGCCAGCAGCGCGTTGGCTCCCCGAGGGCTGAGGAAGGCCATGGAGCTTTGTCAAGTTTTCCTGAGCGAAGAGCAAACTTCAAAGCCATTGTCCCCCCCTTTCCCTCACCCCCAGCCCGCTCCCCGTCCTGCAGTCCTTTCACAGCAGCTCATCTAGCAGCCCCTTTGCCAGGCAGACGGTCTCCTCGCAGGCGCCCGTGCCCCATGTCCCAGCTCCCCCCTTCTCTGGTTAAAGGAGAGAAGCAGATGCTGCCGGGAAGCACAAACCCTTTCCATTCCCCCCACTCCTTGCTTTCTGCTGGCTGCAGAGAGGTGCTGCTCGAGGCTGGTGAGCTGGGGGACATCCTGGGTTCGCCAAAGAGCGTGGCCAAGCCACCTTTTGCTCCTGAAGGGCTGTGATTTAACCATGTGCAGCAAAGCTGGGATGGCTCCAGAAGGCATGGGGCATATCTAGACCACCACCACAGGGGCTTCTCTCAAAGTGATCAAGCTTCATGTATGAATGATGGGGTTCCTAATGCCATCACTTACTATCATGGGCTGAATCCAGAAAGCCACACAGCAAAAAACCCCAATCACTTGCTGCATCTGGCTTCTTTACAACCACTATTAAATTGAAGATGGGTGACACTTAATGCAGAAGGACAGTCCAGCCTGTTTCCTGGACAGAGGAGATGCCAGCTCCCAGGGAGACAGAAGTGTCTCAAAAACTACGTGGTGCCTGGACAGCCCAACATCTGCATAACCGTGGCGTGCACATCTGGCTGCAGCTCCCTCTAGTGCTCATCTAATTTTTCAGCTCCACCTAAAAATGTTCCTTCAACAACTTGCTTGGCCAAACACAAGCCCCCCCAGGAAAGCTAAAGGGGGTGCAAAGGGAGGTGGGTAGGGTAGTAAGAGTTCCTACAGGCACTGACACTAAGATATCTCCCACTGAAACTGATGGCTGCCTCACCTCGCCAGCTCCTGTGATGCAAAACGAGTACTGAGGACCACAAAGCGATGCAACAAAACCCTGCTCTAGGATGGGAAAGTGGTTGCAAAATGCACCATGCAAAGATAAGATTTGGAGTCTTATATGCATTGAATGGAACGGTTGCCTCTCCATAATAGCCCTGATCCTGCAAAGATCTGTCCACACTCCATTAGTTCCCTTGATTTCAGATGGAAGAAGCCAAAATGTGGTTTCTCCAGCAGCAAGAGAAGGTTTCTGAGATTCTGACCATCCATGCACCATGCCAGATGCTCAGCCGTGCATCTGTGGCAGGGAAGGGCATGGTGCTGATTTACAACCATGGGGATCTGGACCATAGAACACATAAAACTAAGCCAACTAAAATAAAACAAATAGCTCCCTTTTAAATTCTCCCTGCTTCTACTAATTTACAGGGGATATTTGTGTTACAGGAAAGCCCTAAACAGCTGAAAAGTGTGTTTTTCTTCTCCTCTTCCCCCTGCAATTACATTACACCCTGCATCAAAATTGAATTTCCTATCGCCTCTCATATCAGTCACTCCCTCTTCCCTAGGCTGGCAAAACCCACCTCCTTATCTTCTCCCTCCCCTCCCAAACCCTCTTTGAAGCTCGCCTCTGGCACCGTGCCTACAACAACATCGCAGCAGGCAGACCGCTGAGACAAGCCCATGACCAAAACCATCTCAGCACTTTCCTCCTTCTTCATCCCATCCCTTTCCCACCCCCCTCCTCCATCCACAAGCATTAGAAGGGTCAGAGTTTGACTGTGCAGCACCCAGCATGTGAGTCCGGGGCTGTGATTGCAGCTCTGAGGTATTACTTGGTATTTAGCAGCATCAATCTCTGTTCCATAAGAGTTTACCCATGGGGTTTTCAAGGATGGTCCCTTAGTCCCTGTGGTAACAGCACCACTGCAGCAGGGAAAAGAGTGATGGGGAGGATGGAAAAATCAGCCCGTGCTTCCATAGAAAAACAAGGGTGGGCAAAGGAGAAGAAACAGCAAATGAAACAAAAAAAACTCCATAACTATGTGAAATCCCAACTGGCAGCATCCCAGTGGTGAAGCGCCCTGGGACAGGGAGTGCAGGTCCTCACCAGGCTTTAAACAGGTGTGAAGGGAGCACATCTGGATGCAGTTCATGCTTCAAATGCCACTTTAATCCCAGCTTTCATCTTCCCCACTCACTCTGTGATAGGGGGGATACGTCTGCTGGGAAGGGGAGGAGCAGCAACTTCAGTGTCTTTCCTCCAACTGCTTCTCCCCACACCCCATCCCCAAAAGCAACTCTTGCAGCTTAACCACTTACCAGCCAAAAAGCTGCTTTTGCCAACAAAGTAATGGGGATCTTGCACTGCCTTCCAGCCTTTTTCATGTCTATGGCTTGCCACCACAGTATCAGGTTCCCTCTGAAGCTCATCTTGCCCCTGCCCTCTAGGGAAACCCAGGCCCTTTGCTCAGGATTTAGCACCTTGCTCATGTGGGATCCTAATGCCAAGTATTTGAGAACCCCTCCACTCACTTATAGGTCTGTACATAAGTGCCCTGCTGAATCAGGGTGCCACAAACCAGCTCGATTTCTGTGCTGCATAGAAATAATGGTTCTGAGTGAGTCCAGGCTCTGCCAGCCCATGGGTATGGTGCTACATGTTGTGCAGAGAGGAGATGCCCATTCTGTGCAAGGTATTGGATATATGCAGAGGTATCATATATATGCAAGGTACAATATATATGCAAGGTATCACATATATGCAGAGCCAACAGCCTAAATACTCAAGGAAGCTGGCAGAAAGCAATAGCTGGGCTGTGTAATTTAGCTGTGGTCACTGCTACAAGGTGTAAAGCTAAGACAGTGAAGAGCAGATCAGATCGTGACTCTACTTTCAATGTAGTTCTGAGTATGGACACAGTGAAATGCCCTAAAGTAGGTTGACTATTCCTCCCACCTGACCATGTGCATTTAAGCACTCTACAGAGGGATTCACCCTGCTTCTCTTTACACGTATAATTGTGGTCTCAAGCAGCTCCCCGCAGTCCATGGCATCTCCAGAGGACATCTCTTGACACTTGTGTTGGATGTCTCTTTGGAGAGGGTGAATTGCCACCTGGAATTCCCTTCTCCCCTGACTGCATGCAAGGCAGTGAAAACACTGGCTCGAACGAGACATCTTAATCTGCAGATACCCCAATTCAAGAGAGCCTTTATAAAAGGTGATTCTGGGAGAGCCTCATATGACAATGACTGGGAGAGTGGAATGGGAATTAGAGGTAGCAGAGGGTTTGTGGCAGAAGGAGAACAAATCAGGAACCTCTCACCCCAGTTTCCCCACCTAACCCAAAGATCCTCACCTCGACACACTATACCCTACACAACAAAATCCTCCTGGCATTGCATTTAATTGTGCTTTTTCTTCTACGGAAGATGCTTATTTGAGGCTAGCCCACATCCCCTTATTTATTCTGTGCACAGCTTCAAACCTGAGTAGAAAAGACAGATCACTCATCGAGGACATGAAACCAGATGGGTGCCGAGGGGCTTGTTTGTTTATTTTGCAGTAAGCAACTAATTGATTGCTTGCTTAAGCAAAGAAATGAGATAGTGATGTTTTCACTTTGTTTGCAGTGACATTACCTCCGAGGAAACTCAATCCAGACTTGACCACACTCCCTGGTATTTCTTCACCCTCCTTCCTCCCCCCCCCCCCCTCATTTTCCCCCCCCCCCCCCCCCCCCCCCCCCCCTCATTTTTAACACCCTTCATGAAATCCAAAGGTTAAAAGGTCCACAAAAAACCCCATGTTATCTGTCAAGCATCCCCCGTGGTTGGAGATTGGCGGCATTATCTTAGCAGCCGTCCCTACTGCTCTCATCTCCTACTCAGCACGACCAGTGGTCCCGGTGGGAGAGTTTCCCAGCGTGGTAGGAGCTAACACTAGAAACTTCATTAAGTGGCTCATGTGAGTGCTCAAGTGTGTGCTTTTCCTTGGGTATCAATGAGGAGAAGATAAAAAGAGAGCCTAAATCATGCATATTTTGGAAAGAAGATGGAGACGTATTGTTAGCACAAGCCCCTAGTACACACACACTTGAAATCAATGAATGCCAGGAGAGACGCAGCGCTTGCTGCTCTTTAAACAGCTTCACAGCATGCCTCAAATAGCAGTTGCAAAAACTGGGTAAGAGACCAGCAGTGCCTACAAAGGCTTTAAAAATGCAGAGAGAGATAGGCAGGTACTTACATCCATTTTATCCCATAGCAAAGCCCCGTCTGCAGAATCAAAGACAGAAAACCAGCTAAGAAAAATCGCGGACTCGGCTTCATTTTCTCCACCGTCCCCCACTTGATGAAGGAAATCAGCTTCTCGAAAGAAAAAAAGAATAATGCAAAAAGGAGTTTTCCTAATTTTCTGCGCAACGTATTTCCCTTCAGTTTGGGTGTTGCTCGTCCTTGGAGATCGAACAACCTGAAAGGAGAGAGAAAGAGCACGAGGTAAGGTTAGCTCTGAAGCTGAGCGCGCCGTCACGAGAGAGAGATCTATTATCCAAATTGCAAAGGAGTGGTTTATGAATCACAAAAAGTTTGGATTATCCCCTCTCAGTCCCCTCCCTCGCCAAGCCTTGATACAACCTTCCGAGTCAACAGACAGACAAACCGTATGGCTTGAATTACACCCTGAGTTATGGTCTGATTGTGTGTTTCCATTTAACCCTGCACATGGCAAGACTTCAGTCGCTGCTTCAACTTTTCTATTCCCCCCCCTCTCCAAAAGGTTTGTGTAACAATAAAAGAAAAAAAAAAAAAAGAAGATAAATCTTTAAATGAGCCCAAATTCATCTCTCCAGATTTCTCTCTTTTTTCTGCAGAGAAGACAAATGATGAAAGCAGCATTTCCCAACTCCACGCAGGTGCCCGTGCCCTGCAGATGTTTCAGTCTGATCTGTTACAACAAAATGTGTTCCCTTCTGCTTTCCTTCTCACCTCATTAACTCTGCCTCTCACTCCTTCCAAGTCCTCGGGCACCTGGAGCTCACGGAAAAGGCTGCAACTCCGTAAACATGAAATCACATTTCTGTCTCTGGGGAGCAGCCAGGAGGAGACAAAAGCTCTCAAGGATTGTTCCTCATCCCCCCCTTTTATTGTTGTTGTTCTCTTCTTCAGTCCAAACATATAAACAAACCAGGTGCAGGACTTAAATTCTTAAAGGGGTTCCTCTGTGTCTCCAGGGCACTGCTTGCTTATTTTAGCAGTGGTATTAATAGCAGTAAATGGGTTTCCCTTCACTTATTCACTTCAGACACTGCTCCGGGCTGCTCTTTGTGGTCTTTGCGGTGGTTTCCCACCCCACCAGAAAGCCAATAATAAAATAAACAGAAAAACCTGCCTGCCACATTGCACCTCGGGAGTCTCACAGCATGCTGGCATTCCCCCTCATTGCTCCCTCAAAGGGGTTTGGGATGGGAGCGGGAATGGCTGAAGCAATCGGCATCACTCCAGTGAACCCCTTACTCTGGGAAAAGCACATCCCACCTGACCCCCAGCTTGGGGTTTGTCCCATCTGTAGCTTTCCATCCCAATACCCACATTTGGGGAGCAATTGGATTGGGGGGAAGGCCTACTTTTGGGTGTTTTCTCTGCCATCTGCAGTGTATTTCTTCATTCAGGCTGGTTTTTGGCTATCTCAATCCCAGCGCATGGTATAAAGGGTTACTAGAGAAGTGCTATTATTACAAAGGATTTTAATAACCTCTAGGGGCGAGTTCCCTGTTCCCTTGAAGTCCGAGACAAAACTCCAACTTACTACAAGGGAGGCAGGATTTCATCACTGTGGGTTATTTTTCCTTAATGCCTGCTTGGATCTGGGCTCAATGCGTCCCTTGAAGGCAGTGCTCCCACGAGCATCCAGGCATACTCCTTGTTTCAGGGTATTTCTATATCTCTTAATCTCTGGAAGCTCTTTTCTACCCCCTCCTCCATGAGCACACTGGAAACCTTCAGCTCTTAATCCTGCCCATGCCTTTTAGTGTCCATTTAGATATTTCAGACCCCTTATCTCCCACCGGTGAATTGCTGAACAACACAAGAGTCGGGTGTAAAATGTCTCAGTTGGTCTAAAACCCTCTCGCTAACCCTGGCCAGACAACCTCACCCTCTGCTTTGCCCCCTACCTTAAAGAAAAGGCACTTTGAGGGGTTTTGTCAACCCCCAGGGAAGAATAGAAGTGATCTACCCCGCTCATACCCACCCCAAGAGCTGCAAGCTTGGCCTGCAATCACACCCCTGTTATTTGGGGAGGTAATAACGCCTTTTTCCACTCAGCCCAGCACAGGTTACGTTTGCAAGAGGAATTTGAAAGGGGAGGGGAGGGAGACTCTTTGGGGCAGACGTGATGTTTACAGCTCTGGAGAGCTCTGGGTCACTGATCAAACCAGCAGCAAGTGGCCTATGGGCTCCTAAAAACTGGAGCTGTTTTTAACTCAGTGCTCTCTTTTCTCTTTACCCAAGGCTGTCTGCAGCCAACCTCACTCCTGTACACTGGAAACACTCCCAGCCAACACCTCCAAAAGTCCGATCCCAAAGATAGGAACAGGCAATATGAATTATATATAAATGTGTGAGTATCCATCTCATTTTTCCAGCTTTCCCACCCAAGAAGGTGCCAGCCTCCATCTCTCCCCCAGGGGTAGCGCATCCCCAAGTGATCTGCAGCGAGGATGGGGAGCAGGGATAAGGAATAAGAGGTGGTGGGGCTGATTCCAGCCCCCAGGTCTCCCCTCTCCATGCAGCCTCTCCTCTCCTTTGCAGCTCCCAGGTCTCCCCTTTCCATCTCCCTTCTCCATTGCAACCCCTGAGTGTCCCTTACACCCTTCTAGTCCCCCCTCTCCCTGGATTTTAGGTGTCCCTATACCCTTCTCCATCTTCCCCCTCCCTTTTAGTCCCCAGCTCTCCCCTCTCACTTCAGCCCTCAGATGGGACCTTTGCAGACCTTGGGTCTCTCCTCTCCCATGCAGCGCATCCATCTCAGGTCTCTCTCACTCTGTGGGTCTCCTTCTCCCTTGCAGCCCTTAGGCCCCCCCTTTCTCCTGCACCCCACCAGGTCCAAGGTTTCTGAGTTTCCATCCCTCCCATTGTACCACTGGTGTCCTCTCTCCTTGCATCCCCCTGGGGTCTCCCTTCTCCCTTGCAGCCCCCAAACCTCCTCTCTCCTTGCATTCCCCTGGGTCTCCCCTTTCCTTTGCAACCTCCAAGACACCCCTTTCCCTGCATCCCACCAGATCTCCCCTCTCCCTACATCCTTTCCCCCGGGGGTCTCCCCTCTCCTTTGCAGCCTCCAAACCTCCTCTGCCCCTACATTCCTTCGGGTCTCCCCTTTTCTTTGCAGCCTCCAAGATTCACTTTTCCCTATATCCCACTGGGTCTCTGCAGTACCTGCACCTGCAACCTCCAAGACACCCCTTTCCCTGCATCCCACCAGATCTCCCCTCTCCCTACATCCTTTCCCCCGGGGGTCTCCCCTCTCCTTTGCAGCCTCCAAACCTCCTCTGCCCCTACATTCCTTCGGGTCTCCCCTTTTCTTTGCAGCCTCCAAGATTCACTTTTCCCTATATCCCACTGGGTCTCTGCAGTACCTGCACCCCTCTCCCAAGGTCTCCCATCTCCCTTGCAGCCCTCAAGCCTCCCCCTTCCCTATACCCCCCAGTCTCTTCGCCCTGATCTTGGCCACCCCTTTAGCGTTTCGGGGTGCTCCATCGCGTCGCTCCCCGCTTCTGTATCTCCCGACAGCGGCTCGTACCCCCCTCCCAGTCCCCGCTTACCTGCACCCGTGCCGGGGCTGCGCGGGGTCCGGGCCGGCTCTGGCGGGGCAGC